CCTGCTGCTTCCGTACCATTGCAAAGAGAACCTGAAGAAAAGCAGGTTCGTTCCCATGCTTGAGGAACCTTTGAACCAGTGCCTGGTTGTTCACCCCTCCCACAAGGCAGCTATATCAACTTCATCACCTCCTAAGCTGAAGGCACCTTTTATTTTGCATTAATATGCTGAAAAATTTTCTTGGTGCTTTTCAATGAGACTGGGATAGACAAGAGAGGAATGTCTGGGAAAAGGCATAACCTTGCATTTGTGTAAGGAAGCATTCAGTGCCCCTGGAAGGGCCTTTTGGAAATCAACAGGCCTAGAAACTTAAAAGCCCAACTGTTGCCAGTGAGGGGGGCTTGGGGTTCTTACAGATTAGGGCTCTGATCATAAACCATGTGGAAAGGGAGGGATTTCTTCAAGACACGGCTTGAGCCTCTCAACATGAGCATCCTGTCTGTAATTCCAAACAGGAATCCAATCAGACTGAGTCTGCACAAGCCTTTCTTTCATCAAGTACAAGCACTGACAACACCATTATAAGCTGTCTGGGGACCATGTTCTACTCTTTGTACATTGCCCCAAGCCCCAGACCTTCCTGGGGACTGGAGGAGAGCTCCTCCACTACAAATAAATGCAAGTTGTTTGGCGTTCTCTAGCAAACACTCTCAACTATGCCAGGTATCAGCGATAACTACTCAACACACTTCAGCTGCTGCCCTTTCTAAGTGCCTATGATAATCGGCAGAGAATTCATGGGAGACGCTCCCCTGTCACTGGCAGGGGAGGCACCCTGGCACCAGGTCAGGGAATGCTGCTGAGACAGCTGCTTCAACAACATGGTCTTTTAAAAACCCTCCTAGCCAAAGATACCGTACTGTGAAGAAACCAAGGCCCCGAGTCCAGGGTGGTGCTCAGCACCTCCCAGTGCAGCCAAGAGAAGCAGCCGGGGCACAGCACCACGCCAGGTCAGGCTGCAAAGCAGCACTACTGAAGGCTTTCAGAGGTCTGAGAAGTCACCTGTTCTTTAAATTGTTCGAAACAATCTCGGACTTCCCTGGGGAAGTAATACTATGCGCAGATGGGTAACCCCCTTTTTGCCTCTCTAGGCAGCTGCTTGATAATTACTGTAAATGCATAAATGAAACAAGAAGTCCCTTTAGGCCCGTCCTTGGATGGTTCCTCTCTGTTCAGAGCAGCCACCAGCTACAGGAATAAAGCATTCAGAACAGCGGGGGACCACACCTTCCATCAGAGAGCTCCTTATCAAACAGCGCTGCAGGAGGTCGCAGCAGGCTCCAGCTTCAGGCCCCAGTGTTACTTCATGGGGAAATGACAACACACTGCAGATGAACATGATTGTAGGATGGAATGATTCCTTAGTATTCCTAATACGGCTCCCCCGCACCCCAATCCTGACAGCCCACAGACAGAATCTGGAACCCAAGGCTCCTGAAAGATAGCAACATGGGACCAGTTTCCTGAGGTGGAATATGGAAAGCGAGGCCAACTGGGCAAATCTGAACCTGTCAATGGGAAGCAATACTTCCAGGTTACTGCACTTCCAGCTACTTGCGCAAGCAGGAAGTAGCCTTCACCATGGACCAGAAGCCTTGATGCTCACAGCACAAAGTAAATCAGAGACATGCACACATAGCATGGTTTTAT